GTGCTGGAGTCAGGGCACAAGAAATCAGAGCGAGCTGTGGAAAAAGTAGTGTCTTAAATAGGGAAAAGGATATGATCAAGCTTTGAAGTTGTAAAGACAACATGAATTTTCAAAATTTAATTTCTTAGCATTTAGTGTCTTTAATTTATCATTTAATTATTTACATCTGTTTATTATATATAATAATATAAATTTACTATTATATATTTCTTAATTCTAAGAAATTAATTCTCTAATTTCTTAGAATGTCAAGTCAGTCTCTTAGTGTAATCAATCTCAAAGTTACATAAAAGAATTATGAAAGTAACTTTCACAGGTTGCATAACCTTTTCTAAGAAACCATGTTTGACAGTAGCAGTTGTTGAAAACTTTTCACTTGGATCAACTGTCAGAGTTCACATTATGAAAATCTTTAGTTTTCAAATGCTCTTATCTCTTCAACATAATGAAGATCTTGAGTAAGTTAGGAACTTCATGTTCCTGTTCTGGTTTGTTTCTGTTTTGCTCCTTTGGTTCTGTAATGTGGCTTTTTTTTAGCTCAGCAGCTTCACCAGTAATAAGTAACAGCTGAGTGATACAAACCATTTAGTTCAAATGAAAACCATACTTCCATTTTAAAGTAATAACTGTGTGTGTTTTGCAGTATAAATCTTCCAGAAAGAGTTCAAGTGGAAATGAAAATGATGAGGTGAGATGGAGTCATTGTGTGAAATGTTTAAGAAAAAATTCACTTGTCTTTTATGAACAAATTGACTTTGCGTTCCAAAGCCAGAGCAGAAATAAGTATTATTTGAGAAAAAAAAAGATCAGAATTGGCTACTGGGGAACAGTAGGACATTTGCTTACTTTGGTAATAGCAACGTTAGTTCACCTGTTGAGCAGAGGTAATGTAAATATAATGCACTACATGAACAATGGTCAGTGTTCCCTTGGCTTCCATGTTTTAAAATTTTGTTGCTGGTTTGTAGCAGACTTGACAAATGTTCGTGTCTCCTGTATTTCATAATTTCATGTTTCTTGTTAAATCATCCTGTTCATTTTTATAATTTCATCTCTTTGATTTCTTTTTAGCAAGACAGTGGTAATACTAATGTGTCCCCACAGTCTCCTGTGTCATCTGAGGTACAAGTTTTGTGGGTTTGTTTTTCATTCAGAAACATTTCTGTGTGTGCATTACTGTCACCAGGTTTTTCCTGCAGGTAGAAAGCTGTTAGATTCCTTTGAAACTACTGTTAGAAGTATTTCATCATCATGAAAATTCAAAAATAGAAAATAGTGACAGATATAACTTGTTTTAACTTTACAACTCTGATCAGTTCTAGAGTTCTTCTGTTTGACTAGTGTGTAGAAAGGTGCATTGCTTTGTCTTCATTATCTTTCCTAATGAAAATAGCTAATGAAACAATCAAATTGGCCATATTTTGTAGACATTTACTATGTACTAGTCATCTAGAGGATTTAAAGGATAACTTGTGGTTTAATACTTCATGTATCAAAGGAAATCAGAAGGTACTGACACTTCTCAAGGAGTTTCATCCTTTACAATTCTGGCTGTCACCTTCCTGGTGCAGCTTTATAGTTTCAGTCATGGGCTGCTGTCCATGGAGTCTCGCTGTGACAGCACTGCACTGCTGACCTTGAAATCAAGCAAATATTAACACTTCCTCCTCATGTCAATAAGGAGCCTGAAAGAGCAGGATTAGAGCATCTCCCAAATAGAGTGAAATAAGGATATCTCATGTACATACCAAAATATTGAGTGTATCTCCCTCTTTAGATGGTGAAATGAGAAAAACCTGATCTTCCTAGTTGGAAGTAGATATTTCTTAAGAACTGTTTTGCTGCTAAGCATTGGAAGAATATTTGCATCTGCTTACGGCTGGCTTAGAACTCTGTTCACAGAATGGTTTGCATTAGTTCAAAAGAATTTGTGGTAGATTTTAGATAATCTGGTGCTGTTTTTCTTCCTCAGTAAGATAAGTTTATCTGCATGTAGTGAGGTTACTTTAATTCCATTTATTTTATACTGTCTGTTTCCAAAAACTGTGGTGCAGTGAAGCAGAAGGACTCTCAGTAGGCCAGAATAATTTAAACAATATCTTCATGGGGAAAAAAGTTAATTCTTTTCATAAATGGAAGAAAACTGATTTTATCTCTTTTAACAGGATTATGAAAGGACAGATAGTAACACTCATGGTCCATTTGGTCTCAAACCAAGGTCAGGTAAGCTGTGCTTTTCTCCCGTGGTGTGTTAGAGTAGAGATTTATTTCCCAGGCTGCAATAGGCAGTGTAGGTAGGTAGATGTCCCATCCCAGTACAGCAGTTCACTCAGTGTGCTTGGCACTGCTTAGTGCTGGGAAAGGCATAGACAGCTGTTGTGCAAAACAGTAATTAAAGAACTACATACAAAAAAAATAATTAAATACAGCTAAA